TGACGAGAACTTCATCTTATTCCCAGCTCGCCAGATGGAAAATATTTGGCAGAAAAAGTTAAAAATGCAACTCAAATCCTCAGTATGGTAATTAACTTCAGACCAGTCTGGGAAATAAATCTGTCATTTTAACTCTAACATACAAATGAGACACAACGTGCAAACCCAAAATGCAGAAAGAGATGATCTTTAAAGATGCTAATTTAATATAAGGAAAACTATCTCACACAGACAAAAATAATAATAAACACTATGGAAAAAGTTTATTGTGATGCTGCAGCAAAGAGCCCTGACATCACCTAAATATATATATATATATTTTAAAAAAGAATACTGTATTTTTCAGACTATAACGTGCACCAGATTATAAGGCGCAATATCAATGAACGGTTCTGTTTTCATACATAAGGTGCACTGGATTATAAAGCTCACTTTCGATTTTTAAGAAAATTAAAGGATTTTAAGTGCACCTTATAGTCCGAAAAATATGGTAAAGAAAAAATGAGAAGCTGTTTTTAGCCTTTTTATGACTCCCAGAACTCTCCTGCACAACAACCATCTGCCACAGTGATTACACGTGTCTGACACATTTTATTCTACAACGCTGAACGTTAGCTCTTCTTCCATGAAACAAAATGTTGCTAAACAAATAAAATTCAGCTTATGAAAGTTTGTAGCTGAAACAACAAACATTTCTTCAGAAAAAACCCTGAAATGCCTTTTACTTTTCATTTAAACATGTGACCCCTAAATGCACATTAAAGCGTGATTAGACTCATCAAACAATCCCACAAATGTCTTCTCTTCATGCGTCAGCCACACACACATTAATCCTCCCAAATCCAGACAGGAAATGTTCCCGTCAGCAGAGCACAATGCTTTGTGACCCCCACTGCTCTCTCTTCCACCCCCTCTCTGGATGATGTGGGACTCCCATCTGGAAGCGGTTAGCCTGAGAACGTCCACACAGCCAACACCAACATGTCTGCAGGTCCAGTTTATCAGCTGCAAACTTTACCCAAACGCTGTGATCAGAGGAAGAACATGAGGCAAGATCTTTTTTTTTTTTTTTTTTTTTTTTGCTTTCACCCTGTTTGTGTTTTCGTTACATCTTGGGATGGAAAAAAAAAGAAAGTATTTCTCTATCAGTGCCTCTTTTTGAAATGGTTTCCTGTTGGCTTTCTGTAGAAGGCAGCACACACTGGAGAATTATTAAAGGAATTCAGTAACGAGTCTATCGGAGTCCTCGGACAGCTTCTACATCCTGAACCTTCTCTGTCCACATCACAGCTCTGTGTAAAACACTGTGGGCTTTTATTCTAAACCAAAACAGCTTATTTAAAGGGAAATGATAAAGAGGAAAAAGAAAAGCTTGTGTAGATTTGGTCACCAAGGACATGGCTAAGCCTGAGTTTAAAAATAAAAGAACGTGTTTTCTTGGAGGAGACGTTTCAAATCTCATCCTTAATGAAAAAGAAAAGACAAAAGACACAACAGTTATATTTAAGAAAAGAAAGAAGTCTTCTGATTTACTGAAACACTTCAAGATATCTGAGCCTGACTGCAGCGAGAAATAAGAGTTAAATATTAACCCCAGCTCCGCTCTCAGGAACTTTTATTTCCTGATCAACAGATCAGTGTTTAGCTGTTACAGACATCAGATCAGTGTTTAGCTGTTACAGACAACACTGTTTAGCTGTTACAGACAACAG